CCTGTAATGTTATCACATGGGTGAGTGTATACACAATACACCAAACAGAGTGTTACTTTTTAAAATATATTTCTGTGATTTGAGGGACATAACAGCTTTACACGTTAAGCAAAACCTCGGGGGGAACGGAGTAGAAAGAGACTTAAGGAGAAGAAGTCAATGCTACATTGCAGATTGGATCCCAGTTTGCTGCTTGGCCCTTCTGATCTGTTGGGTGAAAAACTGGAATTCTGCCTTCAGGGATGATCAGGGGATCCTTAGTAATTATTTGCCCTTTTCTAAAGTTCCTGCTTGTATCTATTTGCTTCAAAAGGATGAACCTCTTTCATTTAACCTGTAATCAGTGCAATCTCTACCCGCTCAAAGAAATAAGCTACTTTGTGAGGCTGTAGGCAGGCAGCTTGTTTTGGATAACTAGATGGGAAATGCAATAGTTCACCCGATAACTCGTCACACTTCATCTGGGCAAATGTAGGTGAAAGGTGAACAAATTGCTAGTTTTTCAGTTTACTTTGGTGATTCCGGTATTTTTTAAGAGTTATTTTCTCATAGACACATGACTATATTTCTGCACTGGCATTACGGACATTATGTAACCACTTCTGGGAGGTTGTAAATTGTATATATGATAGATCATTAACATGCCAAAATTAAGCAGGCCTCTTTCAGTATCAATTGAGCTATGGAATTTCCCAGTTAAAGAGATTCTGCTGGGGCAGTGTGCTTGAATTTGAAATGGACTCGGTGGATTGCACAAAAGAAATAATTGTAAAGCACTTTTAATAAAAACACTTGTATCTGAGCCTATTCTACTGACTGGCCCAAAATTAGTGTTTTGTTTTATTTTAAAGAAAAATGTTCTTGCTAGTCTTGAGGACCTGACAGCTTCACATGTGCAATACTGTACCATGGTAGATTATAAATTGGCTGAGATGTTGATTTGTTCTAATGATCTGAACTTGTCCTCTCAAACTCATTTTCTTTGAGAAAAAAAATGATACTTCGGTTGATTGTCTTGAGATCCAGCAAGTTTCATCCGTTTCTGGCTTGTCCTTCGACCTAAACAATGGCAATTGCTGTTGAATGAAACACAAGGGGAGATGGGGAGAACACTGCCTGCATTTTCTTGATTTATTAAGTGACATCTTCAATGTGGTCTTGTGAGTGGTGGCTTCACCACTCGTTACCAATGCTGAAGTATTTCCTCCTTGGTATATTTTGATCTGCAAATTACATGATGAAAATTGGCTAAATGTTGTGAAAGAATGTGAGAATTTGAACCACTGTTAATGCTAGTTATAAAGATACTGTAAATCAACTGACAGAGATACTTTTATCTATGTTGGCTTTGGCCATGGCATCAAACTCTGCAGGGATCTTGCTTTCTTTGTTTCACGTGAGGGAGATGTGCTTTATTTGTTTTCAAGGAACAGTACAAAAGTACAATTTTTTAGAAGTTTGGAAGCAACTATGACTCTTGCTAATTTTTATGCTGTCATATGTCCTTGGTTTCTCATCTTCAAAGGTGATCTGCTTCTTCATGGTCTTAGGTTTAAGATTCTTAAACCTCAGTGACCATATTTAGATCCTCTTCTCCCATCCCTCCCTTCTGCACAACTTCAGTCATTGGTCAGTTTCCCCATACTGCTTATTCTGTACTTCAAGCATAGGCATGGAATATGATTTCAGCTTCTGAATCCAGTTAACATAAGCCCTTCCCCTTTTCATCATTAAATTGTGAAACTGATGGTAGCAAAAGTCTTGTGCTCCAGTCTTATAATTTGTGACAGTACTTATTGTATAATCCAGCATGTGAGCATGGAAAGAACTTATACATTTCATCTGTGAATAGTTTTGGACACCAAATCTACTGTTGGTTTTGTAGACATTGTTCAGCATTACTCTGAAGCCAGTTCATCCTATCTCAGACCTCTGTAAACTACAACCTGCTCTCCATCCCTTCCCCTCCCCTTATCTGAATGGTCACCATGTGCCATAAAAAGATAGTTCTAGCTAGAAAACATGTAAACCCAACTTGATGTAATTTAAATCTGTGGAATGCAGGCAGTCTGGAAATTATATTTTTGTCAAATGAGCTTGCTTTTTCAGAGTTCTGAGAGCACTGACCTGTTTCTTGATTAGCTCTGAGCCTAAGATCCTGAAAATTGATTTTTCTTTGTTCATTTCCTAGCACGTTAAAAAAAAAGTTGTATGAACCAATCTATAGAGGTAACTCATGATCACTCTAGGAGTTTGTGCTTGCTTGTAATTTAAAACCCTGCCTAGCTATGAGTTGTATAGTAGCATTAAGCTGCTCGCAGTGGACATTACTAAAAGGACTAATCTGTGTTTGGGAAAGGATAACTGCTTGGCTTATGAAAGAGTGGTTGTGAAGTCTTGTATTCAAGTCAGAGGGACATTAGTGGAAGAGGAAGCTTTTCTACCCTTGGTTCTCCCACACAGCAACTCAGGTACTAAACCTAGGTATCACAACATCAGGTAACAGAATTAAGCTTATGATGTCCAACATACAGTAGCTATTTGCAAACATGCTACTTTGTTTTAAAGTTGGAGGGTCTGTATTGCATTAAATAAATTTTGCCTATACTTTTTTTTTTTTTAAAAAGGCATAGCTCTCCTTATGGATTGACTGTACAAAACTGTAGTCTTGTCCCTACCAGACTGGGGTTACTTCAGTCAACACACAATAATACCATTTTCATAGCAGGAAACTAAACATCTGCAAGTAATATGGCCTGTTTTTCAGCTGTTCTTAGTTTGAGAAACAAAGTCTTAATCGTTTTTTAAACTATTACTCTATAATCTTTCCTTCAAAAGCCCTGTAAAGCAATGTATTTTTCTAATATTTATATGCCAACTTGTAATTTCTTCTAATAAAGCAATTTAATTGAATTGGACACCAGTAAGTTCATGGTTACAGAAGTCAAGCAGAAGAACTGTACATTGCTGCAAACTGAATACTGACACTAGTAATGCCCAATTTTATCCAGAAAAAAATATTTTTAAATTTTCACTTCTCCAAGCTGGTATCTTCCAGATGTGTTGATATTACAATTTGCTCAAGATCATAAGAGGTTTGTTTGATGGTTAATACAAACCATAACCTGAAGTAGTAAATTAAGTCAGATGGGAAACAATACAACATATCAAGTGGGAGTTCAATAGGCATGTTTTACTGAAGAGCAGCAAGAACATTAAACTCTTTTAAGTTATCTAACAAACCATAATTTAGCAGGGTTAATCTAAAGATAAAGGTAAACGTTTCCCCTGTCCAGTTGTATCCAACTGTAGTGTGCTCATGTCCGTTTCTTAGCCGAGGGAGCCAGGGTTGTACGAAGACATTTCTGTGGTCATGTGGCCAGCATGACTATACTGTATGCTGAGGGACATGGGATGCTGTTTTTCTACTCACATTTGCATGCTTTCAAACTGTTAGGTGGACAGGAGCCGGGACAAGTAACAGGAGCTCACCCTGTTATGCAGTGCACAGTTCTTGAACTTGGACTGTCAGCTTTCCGGCTAACAAGCTCAGCGCCTTTAACCGCTAAGCCATCATGGCCCCCTTACAAGTGAATCAAGTTATTACTTAAATATGGTTTATAAAAGGATCAGTTTAGAACTCATGCGTTGTGCAGATCCAATATTTTAGCCTTGCATGTTATATCAAAATAAGAGGCAGGGTGACTCAGCGGTTAAAGGCTGTGAGCTTGTCAGCTGGAAAGCTGAAAGCCCATTCAAGAATGAGCGCCATGCAGTGGGATGAGCTTACTTGCCTCAGCTCCTGTCAATCTAGCAGTTTGAAAGCATGCAAACGGAAGTAGATAAATAGGTACCATTTTGATGGGAACAGAACGGAGTTCCATGCGCCTCAGCATATAGTCATGCTGGCCACGTGACCACAGAAGCATCTTCAGACAAAGCTGGTTCCCTTGGCTAAGAAACGAAGATAAGCATCACCCCTAAAATTGGACACAACTGGATGGGAAAACCTGTCTTTTTGTCTTTTTGTTATATCAATACAGCCATTTTATACGAGTTAGAAAATCAATTACAGGTGGTCCTCAACTTACAACCATAATAGAGCTTGCCCATCAAAGTGATAAGTCGTGACAGTCATAAAACGGGTTGGTGTCATGACTAACCTGATTATATCCTTTTTTGTTGCAGTCATCAAGTAAACCCATGGTTCACTATGGGTGCATTTTGCTGAAAACCAGAAGTAAATGCCAGTTTTTGGCAAAACAGCTGTAAAATGTGTGAACTTTACCTTTACCATAAAAAGGTAAAGGTAAAGGTTCCCCTCGCACATATATGCTAGTCATTCCCAACTCTACGGGACGCGGCGTTTCAAAGCCAAAGAACCAGTGCTGTCCAAAGACATCTCCGTGATCATGTGGCCGGCATGAATAAACACCAAAGGCGCATGGAACACTGTTACCTTCCCACCAAAGGTGGTCCCTATTTTTCTACTTGCATTTTTTATGTGCTTTCAAACTGCTAGGTTAGCAGAATCTGGGACAAGTAACAGGAGCTCACCCCATTACACGGCACTAGGGATTCGAACCGCTGAACTGCCGACCTTTTGATCAACAAGCTCAGCATCTTAGCCACTGAGCCACCGCATCCCCTCTCAGATGACCATAGGACACTGCAAATGGCCATAAATATTGCCCAACTGCTGAGTGCCCAAATTCCAGTTGCCATAGCCCCAGGGTAGGTCCATTGTAACTCTAAGCGACCAGTCACAAATTGTGATCTACCCGTATACTTCTGGTTCAAATGCTGGAATCAATGACCTACGAAGCAGGTGCTGGGAGCCCCTTCTACACCTCCATTCTTCAGGGCCAATGAAAATCTCTCTTCCTCCAGTGCTAGAATCCTCTGCTTAGAGAAGCATCATCAACTGCCATGATTTTAAACACACATTGTTTAAAGCACTCTCTCCATGCCTATTTTTTACCTTATGTTTTACAAACCCATATTTTTAAAGAGTGGTTTTTAATTGCAAATTCAAATTTTGCAAGCTATACTTTTAGGTTAGGACAGTGTGTCAAAATACATAGTTACATTTCCTTAAAAGTGGCTTCCTTTAATGCCTGGATTGTGTAGAAGTCTTTAATCTTCAGTGAGGTACAGCTGACTCATTCTTTCAAAGCACACCATTCAGAAAGTGGGTGACACCCTTCGTATTCCTGAAGGTTAGGATTGTTCAACTTTCCTTGGTTGCTTAGCCGGGTGGATTTCTCTTGCCCAGGAAGCAGCTCTTCTGTCTTTATGCAAACGCAATGGCTACGACTGGACCCAGGTTCATAGAGCTTCCTAGGTACACCAGACCATTCTCGGCTGATGCCGCCACTGAAAAGCACAAGAAGAAGAAATGAATGAAACGGGAAGAATGGACATGTTTAACAGTGGTGTTGTAGAGTGTGTGAACACAGCAGCTTCTGCAATTTTTAAAAGCTATGTCTTACCCCAAGATCACATGCTAATTGAAGACAGCTATGCAACCATGGAAAAAATGTAGCTGCTTTAAAAAAGCTACTGATAGTGCTTCTGCATCCTCCACCATTTCTGCACTGCAATGCAATCATGTTTTAACTCAGCCTAACATTAGCGGTGTGTTAATATAGCCTGTGGCCAGAACTCAGACTATCAATTCATAGATGATATTGTGCTATAGATACTGAGCCAAATGAAAAAAAAAACCATTTCATCTTCCCCATTCTGATTACAAACTGAGCCACTTAACTCTCTAAACCAGTGTTTCTCATCCGTGGCAGCTTTAAGACCTGTGGACTTCAATTCCCAGAATTCTGGGAGTTGAAATCCACAGGTGTTAAAGTGGCCAAGGTTGAGAAACACAGCTCTAAACCGCAGTGTATAGCAAGTATGGATAATCTATTGCCACAGGCCCTCTCAAGCTGTATTTTCCAGCTCTTGATGCTGCAAATGATTTCCTGCTATTTTTAAAAAAGGTAAGAACTGTACAGATGGTCCTTGGTTAATGACCACTTGTTCAGTGACTGCTCGAACTTTTAAGGGCACTGAAGGAATGATGCTTACGGCTGGTCTTCAAAGTTTCAGCCATCACAGCATCCCCTCAATCTTGTCATTGTAACATAGCCCAGATTTATGACCACTGTTGCATCCTGCAATCACGTAATTGCAATTTGCAATCTTCCCTGCTTGCCTCCCACAAGCAAAGCTAATGGGAAAACTGGCAGTTGTGATCACACGAGGTCCTTGCTTAACACTAACTGGGGACTGCCAGAACTGCTGTTGCTAATCAAGCAGTCACATGATGTTGCACTTTACAACCACACTGTTTAGAGCTCCAATCCCTATTACTACTGTTAAACAAAGACTACATGTAATAAAATGATAAAGGTTTCTCTGTCTAGTTGTGTCTGATTCTAGGGCACAGTACTCATCTCTGTTTCTTGGCCAAGGGTTGTCCTAAGACATTTTCTGTGGTCGTGTGGCCAGCATGGCTATATGCCAAAGGCATGGAACGCTGTTGCCTCCCACCAAAATGATACCTATTAATTTACTTGCAATTGCATATTTTTGAGCTTCTAGATCGGCAGGAGCTGGGGCAAGAATGGGAGCTCACCCTGTTGTGCAGTGCTTGGGTTTCGAACCTGAGCTGTCAGCTTTCCAGCCGACAAGCTCAGCATCTTTAACTGCTGAGCCATCACACTCCTACTGCAGCATTAAAACAGCACTGCCAGTTTATTTATTTTTAAAAAATAACTTTACTACCACAAGCAGTAAGACAAATAGGAAAACCTTTCTCCCTGCCACCAACAGACTACCCACCTTCACAATGACACAACAAAAGTTACTAATGAATCTCAAGCTTATGACGATGATGCATAGATCCAATATCTGCATCATACAATTATAGTTGGTGGGTTCATTATCATCCTGTCCTTCTGCAACGTTGTAACTGCAAATCCTACCTCTGCTTGGAACACCAGACCCTGCTTCCTCCAGCTGAGCTCCATTCAGAGTTACAAGGTGGAAACTGGTTTTTTCGCTCAGCCTCCTCGGCCTGCAGCTTCTCCCCTTCTTCAATGAGAGCTCGGGCCTCCTCCAAAACCTTAGTAGGTTCCCCATTTTCTTGGTAAAATCGTCCAGCTACTTTGCCTTTTGAAAAATGAGGTAATAAATAATATATGTGTCAATATATGACACTTATCCCTGAGACATCACCACATGAACTTACATTTCCATGTTTGGCTTAATCATGTTTTGTTCACTCTAATTTTTTGTTATTCACTGAGCAATAAACTGGGTTTTAATGGGAAAATGGTTAGGCTAATAGTTTTTTGCTCTCCACTGTTTGATTTCTTTTCCTTTTAAAAGTATGTAGCTTGGGTGCATTTGGCAAGTTCTTACTGTTATTTTACATCAAATCCTGTTTCTTTGCTGAATTGTGAAAACAACTTGAAATGGGAGCAATAATAAAAGCTTCCAGACTACAAGTTTCTTCCAGATTGATAAAATAATAATTGATAGGTTAAGGCAAATTCCATTAAGTGTCCTAAATTATTTAAACTCTCTACATTCTCTTAATAAACCTGATATTCTTACATACCCCAATAGGAATTCCACATTTTGACTGTTCATAGCAAGATGGGCTGGTAAGAGATAATTATTTATAAAATTTATAGGCCGTCCATCTTACCTCAAGGTAACTCTTAGCAGCTATCTATATCAGCTGAGTTAAGAACACACTACACTAAGATGTGGCTGAAAAGTTGGTGCAAGCAAAACTGATTGGTGTCAGCCGTTTCAAGGCATCTTTACATACCGATATGCACATAATTCTTACAGTAGAAGGAAAGCCAGTTCTGGATGGCCAGCATTTGTGGTGGTGACAATCCTGAAACATCATCCACCAGGCCAGCTGGGGTGAAGTCACCTGTGGCAAAAGCTCTGGAGGCATCTTTCCCTGGACAAATAAACAGAAAACACCTGCTTTGTCACTCAATTAACCCAATTTCTGGCCTTGTATAATACTTGTACATCAGCTAATAAAATAGACTAGCTCTGCATACATCTAAGCCAGGGGTGAAATGTAAAATCTGTTACTACCCGTTCTGTGGGTGTGGCTTGGTGGTGGTGGGGTAATGTGATTGCGTGGGTGTGGCCAACTTTTTTTTTAAAAAAAATTTCAAAGCATTTTTTCTAATTAGGAACTCAGCTGGGATCGTCAGAGAGGCTCTTTAAAAAATGCCTCTCTGCCTATCAGGGAACTCAGCTGGGATCGTCAGAGACTTTTCAAAGCATTTTTTTACCACCTCTTCAGCCAAGAGGTTGCAGAAAAAAATGCTTTGAAAAGCCTCTGATGATCCCAGCTGAGCCACACGATCATCAGAGGCTTTTTTTTTTTTTTACTTTTAAAAGCATTTTTTCATCGGAAGAGGTTGTAGAAAAAATGCTTTTAAAAGTAAAAAAAAAAAAAGCCTCTGATGAACGTGCGGCTCAGCTGGGCATGGGGGGGGGCAGGGATTTTTGCTACCGGTTCTCCGAACCACCCGCCGCCATCGCTACCGGATCGGGTGATCCGGTCCGAACCGGGAGCATTTCACCCCTGATCTAAGCCATAAAACCTAACCAAAATTAAAATTTGACTCTCTAGGCCAGGGGTGTCAAACTTGGTTTCGTTGAGGGTAGCATCAGGGTTTTGTTCGACCTTGGAGAGCCGGAGTGGGAATGACCAGGGTGGGCAAGGCCAGCTTGATGTCACTCGTGTCAGGGGTGCCTGTGGCCTGAGCGCTCTGCCAGCGAAAACGGGCTCCTAAGCTCAGTTTTCGGCTGGGATGGCTTCCTGCAACCGTCTGCCAGGGAAAATGGAGCTCAGGAGGGCCACTGTTTCCAGGGCAGTACCGGGGGCCAGATCTAAGCACCCCCCGGGTCAGACTTGGCCCGCAGGCCTTGAGTTTGACACGCCTGCACTAGGCAAATGAAACTCTTTCAATTTTTTTTTAGGCAATCAGATGAACCATTTTGTGTGAATCCAGCTACTTAGCAATCACAGGATCAAAAAGACAAGGGTTGATCCCACCTGCTCAGATCTAATGGGAGGGGCAGATGTAATCAACACAGTCCCTCAAATAACCATTTGCCTGGTGGTTCTCTCAGGGTTTAGGCACCGGACATTTTTGTTTTGTTTTTGTACTTTGCTCTTCTAGTGTATTGTATTTTTCTTTTAAATTAGTTAGTTTTTAATTGTAAGCTATCCAGAGTAATCTGGGAGTTGGGCAGCCCATATATTAAATACACACATTTGCAAAATCTCTACAGGCTCTTGACACCAATGTTACCTATTTATATAATTGCCCAACTCACACTTGTGACTCTTGTTATTGTAGTGCTCACAATAACAAAACAAGACAATTAAAAATACAAAATGTTTAAAAACAATCGTAAAGTAAATTTAAGTTACTGTAAATGAATTCTCTTCACACAGCAACCACGAAGGCCTTGGAAAAGATATTCAAATGCCATGATGTGTGTATCCCTACAAAGATCAGAATCATGCAAACCATGATATGGAAGCAAAAGTTTGACTGAAGAGGTAGACTAGAAACAGTATTGACACCTCTGAACTTTGTTGTTAAAGAAGACTCCTGAGAATCCCGTGAATGGCAAGAAAACAATCCTTTGGATCATCGACCAAATCAATCCAGAGAATTCACGCTAGGGACAAATGGAGCATGCTGAAATTATCCTACTTCAGACAAATTATGCATTTGCCGCATAATTAACCACACTGTATATACCCAGCTCTCTGGAAAAGGCTCTAAAGGTGGGAAAGATGGAAGAAAAGAGGATAACAAGTAGCAACGTGGGCGGGGCTCAGTTGCAATGGTGGGGAGTCCACCCTTGGAAAGACTTGAAGAAATAGGTTAGGGACAGATAATGATGGAAGGTGTGGGGCAGGGAGCAAATCTATTTGGTGCCACTGATGGCACGTAATCCATCAGTGGTCGTGCTTTATATTATGAAACAAAATTAGGGCACAGTGGTCCTTTGGAAGGATATAAAAGGGGTCCCCTCATAGAGAATACCTAGAGTCAGAAGGTGTCAAGGTGTATGTTGGAGCTTGGAATCTCAATCCAGACATTTCAGTTTTCAATCAGCCCCCTTGGAAAGAGGAAAATAGGAGAATCTCTCTTCCCAAAGAAGAGGGAGTCAAGCTAATCTCCAAAGCACTTGAAGGCAGGACAAGAAGCAATGGATGGAAACTAATCAAGGAAAGAAGCAACCTAGAACTAAGGAGAAATTTCCTGAGTTAGAACAATTAATCAGTGGAACAACTTGCCTCCAGAAGTTGTAAATGCTCCAGCACTGGAAGTTTTTAAGAAGAGATTGGATAACCATTTGTCTGAAGTGATATAGTTTTCCTGCCTGAGCAGGAGGTTGGACTAGAAGACCTTCAAGGTCCCTTCCAACTCTTATTCTGTATAATTTAAAAAATAATTCTTACAATTAGTTCTCATTTAACAACCAGTCATTCAGTGACCATTCAAACTTACAACTCCACTGTATGAGTGGTCATTAGACCAGACCTCATAGCTATTGTTGCATCATCCACAATCACATAATAGCAATTTGTGATTTTCTCTGCTGATTTCCCAGAAGCAAAGTCAGTGGGGATGTCAGCAGGAAGTCAGATGTCAGAGTCACATGTGTTCCAACTGTGTATTCTAGTCTTATTTTTATTGGTTTATTTATTTTTATTTTAGTCATGTGTATGTAATGTATATTGGAGGTGGAGACCCTTTGAAGAGCTGCATGCAACGAAATTTCATTTTAATGTATGCCGATTAGTGTACATTCAAAGTGACAATAAAGTTAACAGAATAGAATAGAATAGAATTTCTTATTGGCCAAGTGTGATTGGACACACAAGGGATGTGTCTTGGTGCATACGCTCTCAATGTACATAAAAGATACGTTCATCAAGAATCATAAGGTACCACCCTTAATGATAGTCATAGGGTACAAATAAGCAATCAGGAAACAATATCAATATAAATCGTTAGGATCCAAGCAACAAGGTTACAGTCATACAGTCATAAGTGGAAGGAGATGGGTGGGGGGAACGATGAGAAGATTAATAGTAGTGCAGACTTAGTAAATAGTTTGACAGTGTTGAGGGAATTATTTGTTTAGCAGAGTGATGGCATTTGGGAAAAAACTGTCCTTGTGTCTAGTTGTTCTGATGTGCAGTGCTCTATAGCGTACTTTGAGGGTAGGAGTTGAAACAGTTTATGTCCAGGATGTGAGGGGTCTGTAGATATTTTCACAGCCCTCTTTTTGATTCGTGCAATACACAGGTCCTCAATGGAAGGCAGGTTGGTAGCCATTGTTTTTTTCTGCAGTTCTAATTACCCTCTGAAGTCTGTGTCTGTCTTGTTGGGTTGCAGAGCCAAACCAGACAGTTCATTCTAATGTATATGTGTAGATCAGAGGTCTTCAAACTTGGCAGCTTTAAGACTTGTGGACTTCAACTCCCAGAATTCTCCAGCCAGCTAAGCTGGCTGGAGAATTCTGGGAGTTGAAGTCCACAAGTCTTAAAGCTGCCAAGTTTGGGGACCCCTGGTGTAGATCATGTCCATTTGCACCCCCTGCACCGCACACGCGCGCGTGGGAGAAAAGGGCTCACCCCTTTACCCGGACCTGGGTGGGAAAGAGGGACTGGGAGGCGGGGGGGGGTACCTGAGAAGAAGCCGTAAGCGCCTCCGGGGCCGTAATGCCTGCGCCCCTGCTGCACGTCGAACACCTGTCCCAACACGGCCAGGTAAAGTCCCGGGCTTCCCTCGGTGCCCGTGTAACGGCTTAACTCGGCGGCAGTTAGGACCGCCTCCCCGCTGCAATTCTGCCCCAGCCGCCACCACCACCAGGGAGCGAAGCCGCGAGCCGCCAGCCAGGCGACCGCCCAGCCCAGAGCCAGAGCAGCCAGCGCCGGCCGCAGCATGAGAAGGGCAGGGGCCAGCACTCAAAATGGCCCCTGGGGAGTAAGGGAACGGGGCACGCGTCACGATTTCCTGTAAGGTCATTGGTCGCCGGTTTTAGAGGACTCTGATTGGCTTTTCTGCGCAGCTATGTTAAAGGCTCCTGTGTCACTCTAGACAGAAAAAAAGTTTAGAGAAGCACGAATTCCGAGCTTCAGGGTTTTTCATGGTTTTCCCATTGGGTCAGAAAATATAAGCCTTGGAAAGCAAAGCAAAGAGGCTACGACGCCAGTAAGGATTTAGCCCTTGCATATTTACATATTCGCGTGGTGTGTATCGGCAGCTGAAAGTGCCAGTTCGGAAACTATGCAGGAGCAGAATATCCGGTTAGTATTTGGATAGGAGACCAACAGGAAATCACAGAACTACTGTATTGGATAAACTGGAAAGTTGTTAAAGAAAATCCCGGAGCTTGGGAATGCTGTTCTCTTTTTGGTCCTAGAGGGAAATGGTTTCTGTGGCATAAAACACTTTCCTCCAGCTCCATTGCTTGCCAGCATCAACCTCCTCCCCGTCCTTCATCCTCCCTCTCCCTCATCTCTGATAATAACCTGCCTGAATGAAGTCATAAAGGCATTAGAACCCCCCCATCTCGTTTCTGCATGCCCTCCCTCCTCTCCGTCAATGTCCCCCTCCCTCTGAATTTGATTCTGATCCTGACTCTCAACTTCACCCTCCCTCTCAGCCTGCCCCTCACCTTTTCACCCTCATCCTCACCTCCACCCTAAACCTAACCCAAACTCTCACCCTCACTTACCGCTCTAAGAGTTGACTACTAAAAGAGGGAAGCTTCCCCAGAGTCCAGGAGCCCCACTGAAGAGCAGCTTAACCTCTGGGAAGGCAACTTTGATCTGATAACTGATAACTGACAGTAACTGACACTTTAGCCTGCATGGATGAAGTCATAAAGCCACTAGAATCCCCAAGATGACCAGCCCCCCTTATCCTCCTATCAAAGATCACCTGCTCATCCACCTTTGTGACCTACATCCATGCAGGTCCACATCCAATTTCTCTAGGAAGCAACCAAACCAATCACTAAAGCTGCCTATGTCTTTTTTATTTTATTTTTTGCATGGAAGCCAAACCTCTTTGGATGTGGCTTGTCTCTTGTTATAGAAGCTCCACTAAGCAGCACTGCTGAGCAGTTTAATAGTGTGCTGTTTGCTTTCTAAAGTCAGAGATTGGAAGCAACCTGACTGTGTTTAGGATAGGCCTTGAAATAGATTTGTCCCCTTTAAATCAACAGGGCTGAATCTAACAGAGCTTTTAGTAGCACAACTTTGACATACTATGAATCCAGCCCATTGTCTGGAAAGCAATAGATTTTAAACCAAAATTATTCAGCCTGTCACATTTAGACGAATAGAATAGAATAGAATAGAATAGAATAGAATAGAATAGAATAGAATAGAATAGAATAGAATAGAATAGAATAGAATAGAATTCTTTATTGGCCAAGTGTGATTGGACACACATGGAATTTGTCTTGGTGCATACGCTCTCGATGTACATAAAAGAAAAGATGCCATTCGTCAAGAATCATAAGGTACAATACTTAATGATAGTCATAGGAAAACAGTCAATATAAATCTTAAGGATACCAGCAACAAGGTTACAGTCAAACAGTCATAAGTGGGAGGAGATGGGTGATAGGAATGATGAAAAGATTAATAGTAATGCAGACTTAGTAACTAGTTTGACAGTGTTGAAGGAATTATTTTTATTTTTATTGCAATATATATCCTGCATTGTTTTCTGTTTGAGAAAGGGAAAAGAGCCTGTTACTTCATCAAGTCCAATAGGGAAGTATACTTATGAATCCCTGAAATAAAAAAGCATCATTTTTCTCTAAAGTTCTTTTTAACTGAAAGAACCCTCTGAATGTTTTAATCAGTCCAAAACAGATCTATGTAGAAAATATGCAGAATGAAGATAAACAGCAGCATTTATAAGGAAGCCAAAGGCACCAAAATAATTAATCCTGATTATAAAAGAGGGCATTATGATAAAATCTTTGAAGTTGATCCATGGAATGAATGGTATAGTGTAATCTTACAGAGTTTCATGATTAATGGCAATTAGATTCTGTTCTTAAGTCTTTAATAGGTGGCTTTTTATTATAGATTTATTACAACAATTTGTATATTGCCCAATTACAAAACGCTTAGGCGGCTTATTACAAAATGCAACCATTGCAAATAAAATATTCCTCCAACACCCCTAAAATCCATTATTTAAAAAACATACCACTGAAAGAAAAACGTTTGATAAGTTCAAATGCCCTTCAGGTTTTTTTAAAGGTTTTGCAAACACCAGGCAGGTTTGGCAGCTAAATTGTTTCAGCTGTCCCATTATGTTGGAGCTCTTGAAAAACACCACTTCTAGGCTCCCTTCCCTAAAACCTTATGCGAGTCCTAGAGCATCTCGAATAAATGCATACAGTAGTGGCCAAAATTGTGGAAACCTTTTGGGAAAAGCGTATTTTCTAAAACTAGCTAATAAAACCGGTTTGTTGGCTGCGACAAGAACAAATGTTTTGCTGAAATTAACCAAGCAGATTATCTTAATGGTACAAATCAGCGGTTACAGCAGTTGAGGCAACATACAGATGCTGATGTGGCCCTACAGACACTAAAGAATATCGTGCTGAGTGGGTGGCCAGATGTGAAAGAGGCAGTTCCCATGATTGTAAGGAAATACTGGTCCTTCAGAGATGAGATCGCTGTACAAGATGGCATTCTGTATAAGGGTCCAAGAGTTATAGTGCCAAAGTTATTGAGACCGGAGATGTTATTGCACATCCATTCAAGCCATATTGGTGGGGAGGCATGCTATAGACAAGCCCGTGACACATTGTACTGGCCGAATATGCGAGGCGAAATTGAGGATTTTGTCAGTAATTGTACCATCTGTAATGAATATGCATATTGGCAACAGAAAGAAACTATGATGTCACATGAGATACCATCGCGACCTTGGCAGATCATTAGTGTGGACTTGTTTAATTATGCAGGGAAAGAGCACTTGATAATAGTGGACCATTATTCGGATTATTGGGAAATTGACCTCCTTCCAGACCTTTTAGCTGAGACCACCATCAAGAGATGTAAGTCTCAGTTTGCACGTTACGGGCAACCAAATGTAGTGATTACAGATAATGGTCCTCAATTTGTAAGTCTGCAATTCAAGAAATTTGCTGCTGAATGGGAGTTTGATCATATTACTTCATCACCACGTTATCCGCAAGCGAATGGAAAAGCCGAATCAGCTGTAAAGATTGCTAAGAACTTATGTAGGAAAGCACATGGCGAATGTAGCGATCCGTGGAAGGCTATTTTACATTGGAGGAATACCCCAACCGAAGGTATGGACAATAGCCCAGCACAAAGATTAATGTCACGGAGATTAAAGACATCCTTACCCATGGCAAATAAGTTGCTTGAGCCCGTGGTGATACAAGGGGTCCCGGAAAGGCTACGGCAGAAGAGGCAAGTGGCGAAGGCCAAATATGATAGATCTGCAAGAGACTTGCCAAAGTTAAAGTTAACTCCACTGCCTGGAAATCGGATTGGCCGTTGGGAAAGGGGTACCTGTTTACAACAAGTGGCACCTCGCTCCTATTTGGTGGAGGTTGGAGGAACCCGATATCGGCGGAACCGTGTGGACTTGCGTGTGGCTGAGCAACCAGACTCCTCATATCCAGTGGATGGGTCAGAGCCAGTTGCCAAGCCAAACCTACTTAAGGATAATAAAGATTGCCCGTCTGACATTGACGACAGTCCTGAGCAAGTTGGTGTGTCTGGTGATAGCCAAACATCCGAGGCCTCAGAAAATGGCGAGCGAAGAGATCCGGCCTGCGTGAGAGAGTCATGTGTGAGAGAGACGATTGTTACTCGGAGTGGTAGATGTTCATGCCCCCCTGATAGACTCAACTTGTAGAAAGTGTTGCGGTTATTAGAAAAGGGGAGATGTTATGGGGTTGTGTTTGCTTTTAATCTTTATCTCTATGTGCCTCTATGAGGTGTTTCCGGTTCCTGGGTGTTGCCTTTGAAGACGCTTTATAAGTGTTGTTAGTTAGTTTTACATTGTTAATAAAAGCATATCCGAAACAGTAACCTTTAGCATGAATTACAGCCTTACAACGTCTTCTCATGGAGTGAACCAAGTCTTTTAGTTCTGCAGCTGTTATCATGTGAAACCAAGATTGAATGATTGCTTCTCTTAACTGGGTTTTATTGCTGGGTCGCTTCTGACTAACACGTTTCTTTAGTTGGCTCCATAGATTTTCAATTGGGTTAAGGTCTGGGCTATTCCCAGGCCATTCCAACAGTGGAATATGATTATCTTGAAACTCCAAAAAAAAAAAAAGTGATGTTATTAGCCATCAAACCTCAAAAATACACTTTTCCCAAAAGGTTTCCACAATTTTGGCCACTACTGTAGGACAGGCAGATTCTAGCTGCGAACAATCCTGAACCTACACCAGAGTCACGACGGAAAGTTTTACAGATTAAAACCTGCACTTTAAATTGAGCCTAGAGATCTTTTGTTAACCAAAGCAGCAACTTTAGCCCCACTATTACCTCAGGTTTTTGACAGCAGCTGGACTGCCATGTTTAGCCAACTGCAGTTGCCGAGTTACACGCAGTGTGTTCAATAGTCCAGTGTTTCTTAATCTTAGCAACTTTAAAATGTTTGGAAATCAACTCCCAGTCTAGCTTAATTAGTAATTTAAACCTACCGGTAGTCAATAGTTAGCTCAAAGTTAAACAGTGAGTGTTATGGGTAGAAAATTGAATAGCTATTTAAAGTCCAATGTTCCTTTCACCTCACCTTCTGCTCTTTCATTTTTTTAAATGGTTACTTAATTTTACATTTGCCTTTCACTCCTCTTAGAAATAAACAGGGCATTGCTTTTATTAGAAAGCTGTTCAAGAGTAGTAATCATTGAACTGAAACTTGGCACTGAAATGGGTTGGGGGTTTTCCTGCTGGCTCACCCCCAAGCAGGCCAAAATTACTTTTTGCTACCCAGAATGCAAACTTGTCGAGCCCAAATCTCCAGCATGGTTTCAGGTGAAGAAACTCCCATTGTCTCCAGAATTCTACAGAGGGGAAATTTAAAAATTAGTCACAAAGTCCAGTGCAATATATAATCCTTAAGAATAATTATATCAGAATGAACTTGATTGGCATGTATGCCAGGGGTGAAATTCACCTTCCCTTCCCTACCAGTTCACATACGTGCGCACGCCGCGTGCGTGCTCGCTTCGCTTAGCATGCCGTCCTCGGCACATGCACAAAGCCTTCTACCCATGCTCAGAGACTGAAAATCGTCGCAAAAAAGGGACGTCATGACGTCTGCAGGGGTGGGCGGGGCTTCGCGCAATCAGCCCTACTGGATCGCACGATCCGGATAGAACCGGCTGAATTTCACCCCTGATGTATGCGCTAATTAAACACTTGGGGAACATAGTTTGTCTATTTTGAGTTATCTATTCCCCAATAAGGAATTATTTTTGCCAGTACAGGTTATCTCAACCATTTTTTGACTAAAAACCAGAAAATTATAATGTCAGTGTAATGGCATGTGGGAAAGTCGGGACCAAGAGAGACACTGCCTAGAAAAGAGTCAGATATGAAACAGCATTGCCTGCAGCTGCATAGTGCTCAGGGCAAAGATGCTCGTAAGGCACCGTCCCTAGTTTCTTCGGCTGCAAAGGAGACCGTGGGAGAATTGCACTTTTAGACTTGCAAGAGTCTATCAATGTAGCTTTACAATAGAGTAGAATTAGCTCATCTGGCTGTAAGTCCTAGCTAGTTAACCCAATGAAGCTGGCAATCAGGTTTCAACATACACTTTCCTAACATTTTGCATTAAGAGAATAATTTAAGGATATTATTATTAAACTTGTTTACTGTCCATCTCGCCATAAAGCGACTTAATTCCACCTTGCAACCCCTTGCAACCAAAACCTACAAAATACTTCACTGTTAACATTTGGATGTCTGATGAAGATGTCTTCAACCTTCTCTAGCTTGCCCTTCTAAATATGTTGGGGTTGCTTTGTTGCTGCTGGGAATTTTGACAGTTGCAGATGCAGCACATCTGGACGGAGGGTTGGAAGAAAATGGATTTACTAATTCTGAGTATACCACTAACTTTATCTGCCTATAGGTTATGACTGTATTTATTTATTTTTTTCTGACTATTTTGAAGATTGCTGTTTTAGTACAAAGCAATAATATTAGATTAAAAAATCCCTTCTTTGATCTTATCTAATTAGGCTTTCTCTGTTGAATTATTTGTCATCATATTACCTTTGTTCAGCATTCTGAATGAGAGATTTGGCTGCCTCAGGCTGGGCTTTTAGAAAACTGTGGTACATAGAAAAGGACTGGAGATATCCCAGTAATTCAGAGACACTTTTGGGAATTTTATCAACAATATCTGTGATTCTGTAAAAAAGCAAAATATCTTTTAGGGTGGAATCATAAACTTTACCCCCTGGGTTCTGCAGTCTAAACCAGGGGTCTCCAACCTTGGGAACGTTAAGACTTGTGGACTTCAATTCCCAGAATTCCTCATCCAGCAGCTGGCTGAGGAATTCTGGGAAATTGAAGTCCACAAGTCTTAACGTTCCCAAGGTTGGAGACCCCTGGTCTAGATTAATGGAATGATCCTAGGTTTACTGAGGTTAGCAAAGGAAGGGCAGCTGCAGTTAGTGCTTGGGGAAAATAATGCAATTTGTCTATTTAGGACAATGTCCCATTGAATAGAAACGGCTTCCCTTTTCAGCAGTAGCGTTGTCAGTTGTAACGGCATTGATAAAATCACCACCAATTTCATAAGGCAGTTTTACTTAGAACAGCTTACATCCTGCACTGATACTCTTAATATTATCAAGCAACAAAATCTTCCTATCTCAGGACATTGAGAAGGAATCGACCAAATCCAGTCTAAGCATCTGGCTGATTGTGCAATGAAGAATAATTTATTAAATCTTTATGCTGCCCAATTCCCAATGACTCCAGGTGGTTAATTAAATTTTTTTAAAAAACATTTAAAAATGCATGATCTGTCTCAGCACTGTTGGGGCTTTGCTTCTGGACCCACCAGAGGGGTGGGTTCTACTTATCTTTACTACTGGTTTGCAACGGGAGTGCACGTGTGCGCTTGCTTCGCTCGCGCTTCTGCATATGCACATATTGTCAATTATGATGTCTGGGCGGGTGGGGGGAGTCTCCCGCCGCTTTTACTACCGGTTCTAAAGAACCGGACAGAACTGAGAGCAACCCACCACTGACCCACCATCAGATTCTAATATCCCTGTAGCCACCAGATGCATGGATATGGGATTACAACTTTGACATGCATAATTTGTTCTTGTAATTTTGTACATGGGCTGGACCTCACAATCTGCTAGCTTCACACTCACAGAAACTCATACATCTACCACTCACCTTTCCTTATCCTGGAAGGGCAGAGCATCAAATATTGCTTTGTAGTCATCCGCAACGAATTTGACCCTTTCATGTGTATAAGGAAGAAGTTGAGCTTGAATCTGCATAAAAGAAAAGAGAGAAAGACTTAGACATGGTTTCATAGTAGACACCGCTGAGCTTTGCTCACTCCCTTTATCCTATAAGTCAAAGCAATAGCATCAAGGTCTTCTTCTCCATGAATTTTCCCTACGTGCACTTTCTCTCCTTAATTACAAAATTCAGTATTGCCTAATGAAACTGGCAGATGTCAAACAGATAAAAGGAAAGAGTGCAGGCAATGCATCTCATTCTCAAATGACGCAGATGCCTTGCCGGATGCTGAAGCAAGATAACCATATCTGGGTTGCAAAATCCAGGCCACCATTAGGTGGAAGCAAAGACTTTGCTGTTACCTCTTTGTTGCCATCTAAGATTCCTGCAGGTTTTGCAGAGGTCATGTAACTGTAGGGTTAAGAAGATTCAAACCTTTAATGAATAATTGAAGTGTTCTTGACGTACTGTACGGATAGTCATTGACTTATGATCACAACTGAGCACAAAATTTCTGTTGCTAAACAAGGCAATTGTTAAGAGAGTTTCCCCCCATTTTACTATCTTTCTTGCTACGGTCGTCAGGTGAATCACTGCAGTTAAGTTAATAACACGGTTAAGTGAATGTCGCTTCCTTACTGACTTTGCTTGTTAGAAGTTGGTTGGGAAGGTTGCAAATGGTGATCACAATACCCTGGGATCAGTGGTGAAATGAAACATTTATTACTACCAGTTCTGTGGGCGTGGCTTGGGGTGGTAATGTGACTGGGTGGGCGTGGCCTTTTTTTTTTTTAACTTTTACAAGCATTTTTTCTACAACATCTTTGTCCAAAGTGGTTGTAGAAAAAATGCTTTTAAAAGCCTCTGACGATCCCAGCTGAGCCGCGCGATCATCAGAGGCTTTGTTTTTTACTTTTAAAAGCATTTTTTGGGCCGAAGAGGTTGTAGAAAAAATGCTTTTAAAAGTAAAAAAACCAGCCTCTGATGATCGCGCGGTTCAGCTGGGCATTTGGGGGGGGGCAGGGATTTTTGCTACTGGTTCTCCGAACCACCCGCCAGCATCGCTACCGGATCACGTGATCCAGTCCAAACCGGGAGCATTTCACCCCTGCCTGGGATGCTGCAACTGTTGTAAATGCATGCTGGTTGCTAAGCAACCAAATTTTGTTAATTTGACAAAATGTCAAGGATATTGCAAGTGTTGTAAGCGCAAGGACAGGTTTTAAGTCACTTTCTTCATTAAAGTTGTAATTTTGAATGATTGTAAAATGACTGATTGTAAGCTAACGACTACCTGTATGCATGTGGCAATAGGTGCTATCACTCAGCTGGGTGCTTGCAGAGTGCTTACCTCCTTGAAGATCTCCGTCAGCTTCTCCGACTGATCTCCATAGTGCCACTCCATATCAAGAGTGTTGGAACACAAGATAAAGCAGCCAGATGGTTTGAGAACCCGGTCCATTTCTTTCATGAAGCTGGGGATATCAAACCAGTGCACAGCGCTAAAAGCTGTGATGAGATCCACAGAGTTATCCTCAAATGGGAGCTTCTCTGCAGGACTTGCACTATGAGAGAGAACAGCAAATCAGTGACTTTACTTAGTACTCCTTCGTTGCCAACAAACAATTACATTTGCCTTCTATACCATCTCCCGGTGAAACTGTGGCTGCATCCCCCCCCCCAAAGCTTTTGCGCTCTGTTTCAACTTGCTTACCAAAGGTAGGCTCCTTACATGTCTGATTATGTGCCACAAAAGTCTTTGCTAATCATTAGTGAGCTTATTTCAAGCAAGATGAGCGAAGATTTTTGTAGCAAATAATCAGACATATACGAACCAAAATTGTCCAACTATCCTGAATGTTTACTTACAGATATGAGACATTGACAGGATGTGCTGCTCGCTTAGCTTCCTCAATCTGAGCTTCACTCACATCTGTTCCAACCACCTTTTCAAAATACTTGGCCAGCAGGAAAGTATTTTGACCTGAACCACATCCCACATCCACTCCCAGTTGGAAGCATTTCACCTTTGGAAGAAAAATAGCAATAAATCTCAAAGTCACAGAATGATTTATAGCACTATCTTCTTCAATATTTTACAAAAGAAGAGTTTCTTAGTTTTCAACAACAGCTCCTAAACCAATTGTTGCCACTTAATTTATATTATCTTCTTGCCATTGTCGAACTACATTGATGTCATGGAAATGCTCAGCTTGCCTGAGTTGTATTTTCAGAAAATAAAAATGTTAAGCAGTCCCTCATCTGTGCATATGGAACTGACTAAAAAGCAGAAATTTTGCAGGGCTGGATGGCTGAGAGATACAGATGGGAGGCTAGCAAGAGATTATGATCATGAGTTACCAACCTGGAACTAAATTCAGGAAAAGATCCCATAGTATATTAAGACAAATTAAGCAAAATGCGTAGTAACATGCACCCTATTCTCCATCCAGGCAAAAAAAAAAAAAAGGCAGTTTGTACCATAAATGCCTACTTGTGTTTTTATTCTTAGGACTCACACTGATTCCACCTCCCTCTAGGCCAGTGTTTCTCAACCTCAGCATCTTTAAGATAATGGATTCAACTCCCAGGATACTCCATGACTGCCTGGGGAATTCTGGGAGTTCATTTATCTTAAAGTTGTTCAGGTTAAGATATACTTGTGGCATAGACAGTACCACCACCAGATGGATTCAGCTTGTGAGTCCCAGTGGAACTATATCTATGTGGAGGGAAGCATGCATGAAGGCACCTCAAGGTTCTGACTTCAGCCCAAGGGCTCTTCAATAACTTCATAAATGAGCTAGATGAGAGGATTGATGGCACACTCATAAAATTTGCAGAGAATACCAAGTTGGGGGGAAATTGCTAACATTTTATTTATTTATTTATTTATTTTATTTTATTTATTTTATTTTATTAGGCTTATATCCCGCCCTATCTCCAACAGACTCAGGGCGGCTCACAACAATAAAACCACAATAATCCATCATGCAAAATTAAAATGCCTAATTAGATCAAATACTATTAAAAACCCGTAAAAACCCCATCAGTCCAGGCCGGGGGACTCAAATAACCAAGTTTTTAACTTGCGGCGAAAGGTGCGAAGGTCAGGGGCCAGCCGAAGCCCCAAGGGGAGTTGATTCCAGAAGGTGGGAATTTGGAAGACAGACTCAAGATTGAGAAGGATCTTGACCAGAGGTGGGTTTCAGCAGGTTCTGACCAGTTCTGGAGAACCGGTAACGGAAATTTTGAGTAGTTCGGAGAACCGGTAGTAAAAATTCTGACTGGCCCCGCCCCCATCTATTCTCTGCCTCCCAAGTTCCAGCTGATCGGGAGGAAATGGGGATTTTGCAGTATCCTTCCCCTGGATTGGGGAGGGAATGGAGATTTTAGAGTATCCTTCCCTCGCCATGCCCACCAAGCCATGTCACGCCCATCAAGCCACACCCACAGAACCGGTAGTAAAAAAATTTGAAACCCATCACTGATCTTGACAGATTTGAGCATTGGGCCCTATCCAACAAGAAGCAGTTCAGTGATGAAAAAAGTATGGCCCTGCACTTAGGAAGGAAAAAAACAAAAGAACAGGTACTGGCTCAATTGTAGTGCCTGTGAGACGGATCTAGATGGGCTGGTGGCTCATCACTTAAGTATGTGTGTTGCAGCTTCAAAAAAAAAAAAGTCAACACAATCCCAGACTGCATCAACAGAGGGATAGCATCAAGATAACTGGAAATCACTGCACCCCTCTATGCTGCCTAGTGGGGCCACATCTGGAATATTGCATCCAGTTCTGGTTACTATGATACAAAAAAGATGCTTGGCCTTGGAAAGAGCACAGAGAAGAGCAACCAAGATGATAAGAGGTCTGGAGGCTAAATCGTATGATAAACATTTCAGAGAGTTAGGTATGTTTAGCCTAATAAAGAGAAGACTCTGGGGAGACATGGTAGCAGTCTTTCAATATTTGAAGGGCTGCCACAGGGAAGAGGGGACAAAAAGCAAAGGGGAAATCCAACCTGCAAATAAGGAATTTCCTGACAGGGAGAACAATTTAAAAATGGAACAGTTGCCTCCCAGAATTGTGGATGATCCATCACTGGAAGTTTTAAAGAAAAGATTTGACACCATTTGTCTGGGATAGTATATAGGGACTCTTGTGTTGGGCAGGGGGTAGAAGACCTCCAAGATCTCTTTCATTCCTGCGATTCTATGGCCTGTGCAATCTCTGTTTTCTTCTGATTCTGCACCTCCAACTATGTTCTTTGCACAGTATTGCTAATCTAGCATTTTGCTCCCACAATGGCCTATTTATCTATCCATCAATCTATCCTTTCCCCCATTCAGGTATTAAAAAAAAATCTTTTCTAGCAGGCATCCTTTTTTCGTAATTATGTAATTAGATTTACATACATTTGAAATATATGAAAAGGTGCTCTCCATCTTTTGCCTTTTAATCGCTTATTCCAGTTGTTTTACTTTTATTTACTTTTAGGGAATAACATAACATTTGGTATCTGGATTACTAATCCACCAAATTTTCTACCCAGAGAATAAAAAAAATTTTTTTTAAATGTTATAAGTTTGTCAGAAATGTTGAAAACTTGATATGCCTGCAATATATATTTTTAATTCTTACATGCTCATTTTTATTGTTTGGGAGCACAGAAAGCTGCCAGATGAAAGTGTGTCCCACCTTTCTGAGCCAAAAACAGAGGATGCAGACTGTATAAATGAAATATAAACAAAGAAAAGTATTCTGCCTCAGAGTCACAGGCTTTCACTAGCAAAAATTGCTTTAGCCCAAATCAAACATTGATCCGACTATCATTTTCTCATCCCTTCGGAATGTCAACTCTGCTGAGTGATGTAACTTGGTACTCTGCAAAGAGCAATTTAAAAATATCTCTTCTCTGAAATACAAAGATTCTAGTCCTCATGTTTCTAACTGCTGAATGTTTTTCTTTTAATTGGGGGTTCTCCATCCCGACAAACAGCAGCTGTTCTTACTGGGGAAGGAATTTTCCCTGCTGCAGTTATGATTCAGGGGACCATTTTCCACCTGCGCGGCTGCATCTCTGAGAGTCCCAACGGAATCCGCTTTCCCATCTTTACCTTTTTCTCTAGGAACGCGAGGACCACGGCTTGCAAATTCTCCTGAAGCGAGAGCCGGTATTTCTTATAGAAAGCAGCGTGATCTTTATCCTCAAACAGGCGAGAGGCCATTTCTTAGCGGTGGAAGAACTTCTAAACTTTGACAGAGAAAGACGGGAGGGTGGGTGACGTCGCCTCTGGCAACCTCCGCCTTCCATATACACACACACACACGGGAAGGCGGAAAAACCGGGACGGAGTTTACGGAATGGCTCCTTTGTGCATAAACCGGTGGGCTACTTTAAGGATATTTTAGCATCGTATTTCTAAATGTGATTGGTTCGCCGGAAAGGAGACAATAGCCAATGGGTGAAAACTTTACAGAAAGAGATCCAAGTTTGAAAAAAAAATTGTTCTTATAGTCAAGAATCTATTCCTTAAGACTGAGTTTTTCAGCCTCCACAATTTTAAGCTGTGTGAACTATAACTCCCAGAATTCCCCAGCTTTTGGTGTTATAACTGCTCCATCATTGGAGGGTAATTCTAATTCTGATTAATTCTTATGTGTTAATACATATCCTGTGAAAGCCCTAAAACAGGGATGGCCCTGTTTTAGGCAACTATGGCCCTTTTATGACTTGTGGACTTCAACCCCCAGAATTCCTGAGCCAGCCATGTTAGTTCAGGAATTTTGGGAATTGAAGTCCACAAGTCATAAAAGTGGCCACAGTTGCCCACCTCTGCCCTAAAAGACTGCTTTTGTCCTAGGACCATCTAATCTCTGGAAGATCATAGTTAAAAATCCTGCTTCAGGTTAATACATTCCTTGTTTTAGAAACTCCTTGCAAGTGCTCAATATATGAAGTAGCTATCAAAAGCATTATTATCTTGAGCAAACAGAAACTTGATGTATTTCAAATGCTCAATTATTGTGCCATATCAATTTTGCATCTGATGGACTGTAAGCCAAAGTTTATGGGTGGGGGGGGGCAGGCTGTTTCTGTTCTTACTATCAATGTCTTACTCCAGAATAAGACCCACTGAATTCAGTGGAGTTCACATTTTAAAAGACAAATCTGCAACATTGCACTCTGGTGTTTTAAAAATGATTTTGCTTGCTTGTTTTCTTCCTTTCTCCCGCTCCCTTTTTAGACTTAATAGGTTGCACTCTAATTGTTCCTGCTTTCCATGGAAACCAGCTTTTCTAAGTACTGATTAGATAACCTAATTAGCATTACAGTACTCAATACTGTGCAGTCCAGGATCTACTTTCCTTACAGAAAAACATCTCAGTCCTTGATCTGGGACAGTGGTCTCCAACCTTGGCAACTTTAAGACTTGTGGACTTCAGCTCCCAGAGTTCCTCAGCCAGCAAAGCTCTGATCTGGGAGGAGGCAAAAATTATAACTCTAGAGATAGCAAAAGGTGAGAGTCACAACACCACTACACAAAGAAACAACTTCTTGGTTCCTTTTGCTGTTACGTTTGGATAACGTGAAATACTGTAAACCGATTTTAAAAAATAGGATTCATGCAGCTGTTTGTGCTGAACAAGTGTGGCTACCAATTGGTTTTTCTTCTTCTTCTTCTTCCTCTAATTCAGATCATGTAGCCTGTGAAGATGTAAACATTTTACATGAAATGAAATGTTCACATGAAAATTGTACTTTTAAAATACAAGTGGCTCAGCAGACTAAAAGCATTGTGATTAACACCAGCTATCTGCAATTACTGTAAATTCGAATCTCACCAGGCTAAAGGTTGACTCAGCCTTCCATCCTTTCTAAGATAGGTAAAATGAGGACCCAGTTTGTGGGGGCAATAAGCTGACTTTGTATAAATATACAAAAGTATGAAGGCTTTTTTTAACGCATTGTAAGCCGCCCTGAGTCTCCGGAGAAGGGCGGCATATAAATCAAATTAAAAAAAAAAATAGAGGACTAGGCAAGCTTACAGCAGCTATAGAACTCACTGTGCATTTTGATGTCGGAAAATGGGTGTGGAGACTTGAGCCATTCCCACAGGGATGATGGGAATATTATATCTTGCATATTTATGTTTCTTTTTTTTCTTTCTGAGAGCAGCTGTTATGCAGATGCCCAACAATTTGTCCCAGGAAGCATGTGGGCTTGATGACCACGCCAGATGGGTAGAAAGGAACAAGACATTTATTTTCAAATAAAAGGTTGCCCAGAAGCAAGTTCCAAAATGGACTTTAGGGGTGGGATTCTACCGATTTGGGCAAATCTGTAGCTCCGACCATCAGCTGGGAGCGAACCGGTTCGCTCTGTCTTTGAAATGGGCCCACCCACCCTGTCTTTGAAATGGGCCCACCCACCCCTGCATTATACTCACCTATATTTCCTTTTCTGAAGCCCAGCTGATCTGGGCAGCAGAGTGGATTGCCATGCCTCAGCTGTTTTCCTCACCAGCAGTCAAGCGGAAGGTGAGTTTTCTCCTAAATGCGCACGCATGCGAAGTGAAGCGAGCCGCGTGCGCAAAGCATGCGCTCAGCAAACCGGTTGTTAAACCGGCAGGATCCCACCCCTGCACACCTCTGTTCGGAATGGACCTCTTTTTATAGTTTTCAAAAGTATACATTGCTACAGTATGAATCAATTATGGGAGCATGCACCCCTGTAAACCAATAATAAAAAGCAACAACATGCCTATATTTTAGTGGTCATAGTAACATAGTTCAACCGAATATTACAAACGAGGTGAATACCCTTACCTGATTAATAACATTCCTACACTCAAAGCATTCCAAAGACCTTTGGTACCAGGGTCTTGACCATCATCTTAATGAATAGGCATTCCTGAACAGGATGGCAAATGATCTGCCTCCCATCAATTACTCTCATCCTTTCCTAACAAATCAGGTCAATTGCTGGATAACCACACAAATAGATATAAAGCACCATCCCCAAAGCTATATGCTATATGTCAAATAATAAGAGCTGCAGTGGCGCAGTGGTTAGAGTGTAGTACTGCAGGGTATTTCTGCTGACTGCCGGCTGACTGCAATTTGGCAGTTCGAATCTCACCAGGCGCAAGGTTGATTCAGCCTTCCATCCTTCCAAGGTGGATAAAATGAGGACTCAGATTGTTGGGGGCAATAGGCTGACTCTGTAAACTGCTTACAGAAAGTACAAGAATTGTACTTTCAGACTTGAAAGGTTCTATTAATATAGCTTCACAGTAAAGTAATATTAGCTCATCTAGTTTTATTTCCTGTTTGGTCTACTTGGTAAAGCTGACATGTTGTTTCAAATTTATGCAAATACCTTCAATATCTTGCAAAAGATTTCCATTTCAGGCATCTTCGGGCCACACTTGAAAAACCACTAATATAAGCTATTGTACGTTAACCTTGGAATAGCATTATAGTTACACAATTATACCACTTTTTGAATGGCCCAGAAAAAATATTTGTCAAAACATTATTGCATCTCCCTTTACTTAGTCTTCTCTTTTGCAAACCCAATATCAGTTGTTTCTTTAACTTTTCCCCACAGGCTTGGTGTTTAAATACCTTATTATTGTGGTTGCTGTCCTATGGTTGTGTTCCAGTTTCTCCACATACTTTTGAAATTGCATTACCCAGACTGGACCCCATATTCCGAAAGGCAACCTAGCCAGCAAAAAGTACAGTGGAACTATTAGTATAAATCAGCGGAAAGCATTGTTAATATCATCCAGGATTGCATGCACCTTTTTTTGCTGCTACATCACTGGTCTGGATCGTGTTCATCAGATGCTCCATTACCAGTTTTTTCCCCCCACAATCCAGGTCATAAAATTGACTGCTACTCACTTAACAACTACCTTGCTTAGCAACAAAAATCCTGGTCCCAATTGTAGCCAATACAAGCACTCCCCCTTTAGAACTCATAACTCAGACCCCCACAAGAAAACCAAAAAAGTCAATTATACACATGGGTGGGCTTCAAAAATTTTAGCAAGGGATTCTTGCCCAATTGCTGGGCAGGCGTGACCATGGTGAGCATGGCATACCTGCACCGAGGCGTTTTTGCCCTCCCTGGGCTCTGGAGGCTTTCCTCAAGCCTCCGGGAGGGCAAAAACGGCCTCCCCAGATTCCAGAGGCCCTCTGGAGGCCAGAAATGGGCCCATTTCTGGCCTTCCTGAATTTCCGGTAGGCCCGTTTTTCGCCCTCCCCAAGCCTTGGCGCGCGCCCTGCAATTACCTGCATCCAAAATGGGCCACGTGGGGTCTGGGGAGGGGCGGGGCAGGCGGGGCAGGCGGGGCCAGCCAGGAGTGGGATTTGGGGGTTGTCCGAACTGCACAGAATCTTAGCTAGAGGTTCTCTCGAATCCCTGCAAATCTCCAGGTGCCCATCCCTGATTATACACCAAGGTGAAAGTATTGTAGATTTTACAACTCCTTCCAAACCGCAGAGCAGAATGTCTCACTGTTTATTATAGCTATTTTTCCTGTCAGTTCTTGAATGATTATTTTCAGGGTTTGACACCTTGGCTGTAGTAAAGATAGGGTTCCTAAAAGGAGGATGAAAGAAACCTCCATCTGGATTCTCTGCTTCTTGTGCTTGCAGGGAATTTCGGCTCCTTGTCTTGTTGCCAGGCTAAGTAGGAGTAAAGAAAAGACATGAGCTACTTAAGGATCAGGGGGATACTTGAAAACAGAGTGACTCATAATTGGTGCAATGGGGTGGGGAGTCTTTCTTCTGAAGTTAGAAACAAGAAGAGAGATGATGTATGTCCAATATTTAAAACCCTTCACTGGCTCAAAACAGGATAGAATTTCTAAAGGTGCTTTTTCAATTGGATTTTCTTTGTTTTTCCTTGAAGGCGTTTTGCTTCTCATCCAAGAAGCTTCTTCCGCTCTGGTTCTTGGATGAGAAGCGAAACGTCTTCAAAGAAAAACCAGAAAGTTCTGTTGCCTGTTGAAAAAGCACCTTTGGGACAACCATGACATGGATTCACTTGTTAAGTGAATAACTGCAGTTGCTAAGTTACTAACATAGTGGGTAAGTGAATCTGGCTTCCCCATTGAATTTGCTTGTCAAAGTCATAAAACGTGATCACATGACCCCAGGACACCACAACCGTCATGAGTATGAGTCAGTTGCCAAGCATCTGAATTTTGTTTACATGCCCATCGGGGATGCTGCAATGGTCGTAAGTGTGAAAAACGGTCATAAGTCACTTTTTTTTAGTGCTGTAGTAACTTTGAACAGTCCTTAAA